AAAATATCACATGCACAATTATGCTAGTATATGAATAGCCCCTAATGAATGATGAATGTATACATTTACATTTTAATTTATCTCAGGAAATATAATACTGACTTTTCATAGAAGACTGTTTTGAATTATGCCATATAATAACTTATACGTGTTCAGAAGTTGAAATTTTAAGATACCAGGACTACAAAATAATTAAACATGCAATAAGTACACTACCCGTATGAAAGATGGCAGTTGTGGGTATCCAGTAAAATAACAAATAGGTTCAATGACTTTAGTTTGATTTTGAAATATATGGTGAATTTTGTGAGGCTCACAAAATCCTGAGGATGTTATGTCTGGTATCCTTGAAGCAACTCTGTGATGCAGGTTATGATGCTAGAGGGATTTAGCTATTTGCTTATGGCACTCAGCTAGTGAGTAGCAGAGCAAAGCTTGAACCTGCGTGGAGGCTTTCTAACTCAGAGCCTCTCAGCCAGTGCTCATGACAAAGCTTACTTTTTGTTCCTTATTTTCTTACTTGTTGGCAACACTAAACTTAGTTGTGCTGCTGCAGTTTAATACTCTGAATGTGGAAGGAGGTAATCTGAAGCTTGCCTGGAAGACTAGGAAAGGCTTTGAGTTTAAAGTGTGAAATTGAACAGAGTTGGCTAGGGTGCTAAAGAAATAGGTATATGCATGCAGCCACCTTGTAAATGGTTCAGTATTTCCAAAAAACTATCTGATAGCATAGAATGAGAGCTATAAAACTTTTCTTGCCCTTTGACTTAGTAATTTTAGTCTGTGGCATATACCCCAAGGAAATTTAAAAAAAAAAAGGTAATTTGTTCAAGATGTCCATCCAGGGGCTATTTGTATTAGTGAAAATTAGAAAACCACCCAAATTCTCAGTAATAGGACTATAACAGCAAATTAGGCTATGTAGAAAAAGAAAAGAAGAAAACTTTATATCTCCCAATGGCAAATGTACATCAGAATGCACTCATATGTGGACATATTCGAAGAGGCAACTTTATTTTTAAAAGTAGAATACAATTTAGTTATAAGGATAATCTTGTACAAGGAAGCAATTGTGTTGCATTAATGACAACACAAGAGAATTGTGATTTATAAAGAAGTGTATCTCCCTCTCATTGTTGAAATCCAAGAACAAAAGAGTACCTGGCATATAGATTTGTGTTTAATAGAAACTTTTTAAATGAAAACAGAATCTATCTACTCAGATCTTATGATAGCAAGGAAATCAGCCACAACACCTTGAATTTAGCAAGGGCGAGAGTTGATAGATGAAGGAACTGAGAGAGATTAAGTGACTTTACACGCAGCTGCTTGTCATCAGCCAAGCTGGGAGTCAGCTAAAGCTCTTGTTCTCACGAGAGCTGACATCATTGCTGTGCAAAGTCCTGTTCTCTTTAAATCATTCAGAGCTCCGACCTCCCTATCTTGTAAGTATAAATCCACTGAGAGGAGTCCAGGAGGTAAACCTAGCATGCATAGAATCAAAGAAAAGGACTAAATAAGTGAAGGAGTTAGAGCAAAGGCAGGCTTTTCATATGTGAATAACTGGGCCATGTCATGGGTATGTAGTTGTTAGGCTTGGAAAGATATGACCCCTAAAACATTCCATCTAAATCCTTAAAAGTACACATTACTCAGGATTCTGTCATCCACAATACAAATAAAATCACATTTTTGCTTTCTCTGTACATTTATGGACTTAGTTTATCATACTGAGACCATGTTTCTAAATGGCCTCTCCTCTCACTAGTCCTAGCTGATGGAAGCTTATTTTTACTTCAAAGGTCAGCTCAAATACTTCCTCTCCTAAGAAGCCCTTCAGAACCCCTTTCTTTCCTAGGCACTTAGGTCAGGTATTAGAACATCTTGTTGCCTCCCACTTGTGTAGTTCCTGGATGGCACTAACATTGGGGTTTACTTTCCTGCCTCCTGTGACCCCAATCCAAGTATCTCCTGCACTGTAGTTTATGGAATGGTTAAGAGTTCACCTGAGTTCCTATCGTTGTCTGTGAGTTTATAAACTTTTACTACGATTTGAACTGTTCCAATCCACCACAGAAATGACTTCAATCAAGGACTCTCTTCATTTAAAAATCTTCTTATTTCCCTATAATCAAATTTTATGTTGACTTCTATACCAGAATACTTGCATTAATTTAAAGCATTAGTAATTAACATTGGAAAATAGCAAGCCCACATCCAGAAAGTTGAACTATAAGTGTTTTTTAATCTAATCAAAAGATGGCAGTCACCAAACTTAAGCGAAATAATTTGAGATTTGCTTTCATTATATATTTTAAGATATTCAACCAGATTCCATTCAGTATGAAGGCAAGAGCCTCAAAATCAGAATTTCAGTTCTTTGAAGACCCTTTGTTTTTAATATAAGCTGGCAAATAAACTACTACTCAAAGAACTTAAAACTTCAGAGTGAAAGTACATTGCATCTACCAAGGTCAACTGCCCTTCAGGGAAAAAAATAATGCTCTTATTAGCAATCTGAAACAACAATTAAATAACACTCATTTTATTGAGAATTTTACACAAGAACTGAGAAACAATTCTTCACTGTAGTTATAAAAAAACAGGAGAAAATCCCATGTTCTCTGTCTTCCCTTGGGCCCTGTGTGGTGGTGCTGCAATCCTCATTAAAAAACTTACTTATAAGGAAGATAAAGACACAGATAACAAGAATACTACTGAGGCTTGTAATGGAAAGGAAGCTAAAAACAGATGAAGTAATTATTTTCAACTAAACTGCATTCTATGAAATATAAAATATCTCCCATTACGTTTTGTATAATACTGGAAAAGTTCTTTGATTCTTGAATGGGCTAATCGAACAGCTATTCATGTAATTCCTGTCTTTTTCAGGCAGTAGCAATCAATGATCAAAAAGGAAAGTAGAAGTCATGCAAGGCAATGAAATCTTACTTTTTCATCATCTTCCGAAAATGGAGCACCTTCAGGAATCTTATTTATCGCTTGTGCCACACCAATAATCTCACCATCACTGCTTCGGATAGGCATGCACAATAGTGATTTTGTCTTGTATCCAGTTAGCTTATCAATTTCATCATTGAATCTTCGATCCTAAAATAAGATAGAGAGAGCATTCACTGCAAGTGCATTGTTGTCAGGGAAGACAGAGAAGTATACGTCCATATATGATACCTTATCACTGGAACTTCTCTCATCAATTTTTATCCAGTAATAGATTTCACTTCATGTTTAATTCACCAGTAGAATATGAATGATAATAAATCATCACCATACTTCTTAGCCATGATAAATGGAGAGGAATATTTAAATTCAACTGCAACATATCAAAATTAGGAAAGGGACAAGAGTTCTAAAGAACCCACAGTATATTATTTATTAAACATATTTTTTCACAAAGACAACTGAGTATGAAATAGCACATGAGAAAATTATATAACAAATATGTCTTAAATACTGTGGAAAATATTCAGAAAAACTACTTTATTTCTGATTAAAATGATCCTGCAAAAAAGGGGTGAGAGGAGATAAAAAAAGTCTCTACAGATTTCCAGCTTTAAAATGTAGAATGAATAATTAAATTATATAGTATCCATTTTTTCAACTACCACTATAATAATGGCCACAAGCAAGGATTATCAATTGACAGTAATACTATTGGGCAAATATTGTTGCTAAGCAGGGTGTTTCATAGTCTTCAAGTGCCACCCAATATTTCTTGTTAATTACAATGGTAACAGGCATCTTTGTTCTGAAGAGATCTGGTGGGCTTCATCTTAAACAAGGGATCAAGCTCAGCATGACCATGAATGATAAAACATAGCATCTCTGCCTCCTGTACGATGCCATGAGAAGGACACAACATCACCAGGAACACAGGGTGCTCCTATCGAATGTATAACGCAAATCATATCACTCAGGAAAATAAAATTAAGTAACATGCACATAAGTGGTTATTGCATCAGAAGTGTGACCTGGACTCTTCAAAAATGTCAACATTGTTGAGATATCAAGAAAATTAAAACTGAGAATAAAATAAAGTCACGGGAGTTGTGCTTATTAAAAGAAGATTATGAGGCCTGGAATCCAAATAAAATTTGTGTTTCTCCAATGGAAATTTCAAATATTCCACAAAGGGTATTTTGGAGGACCACCTAAGAAAGTTAAATATGGACTCAATGCTATATTGTCTCAATATAAACTTTCTTAGATATGATAGTACTGTTGTAGTTATATAAGAGAATATCCTTACTTTTAAGGATCAAATGCTACAGTATTTTGAAGTAAATATAACACTTTCAAGCTTTAAAAAGGAAGGAAGGAAGCAGGTAAGGAGGGGAAAGGGAGAAAAGGAAGGTAAACAATAACAAAAGATTGGCTCCTGAGACAGTAACAGAAACTAAAATGATGCTCCAAGGAAGATGCTAATGTAGGCTTGCTGGTTCAAGCCTAACCCCCACTCATGCCTCTACTATGGTGGCTTAAAATGCAGAAACCAACGCATTGCTGCATACCACCATCTGAAACTGTGAATTTTATCAAGTGCCTAATAATGCTGACTGTAGATAAGGTTATAGCCTCATGACCAAACTAACACTGTGACCGGTTGCTTACTGGCTCTCTGACTAAGTATGAGACATATCACAAGGACAAGAGTCCTTAAATGCCATGATTAAGACCTGGTTCTGGTCTAGCAACTCATGTAAACCATCTTAAGCCCTTTGTGAGGAGGGAATAGCCCAAAGGGAGACAGGAAAATTGAAACCCAAACAAAACCAAATCCCCTGCTCAAAATAAGCATGTAACTAAACTGTCAGAAACTTAAATTTGAATTAATTTTTTAATTCATTAAGGAACTACTGTCAGGCTGTAAGCTAGGAGACATGGCAGAAAGCAAAAGAAGTATCACTCCAATCTAGTAGGTGAGGCAGACAATATAGAAATACACAATTATAGATTGTGGTGGTACTGAGGAAAAGAACATGTCGCATGAGAGAGGCAAAGAATGAAGGAGAGAACTTTCCTGGAGGGTGGAAAAGTATACATGAAGGTCATGAAGCAGGAAAGATATTTAGCAGTTCCAAAGACTTCAAGGTCAATGAGGTAGAGTATAGGGAATTAAAGGAAAATTAAAGAGAGAGGCAGGGAACTAATGGTACCAAGTTTTATAGGCCTAGAAAGGAGTTAATTTAATCCTGTGCACAATGGAAAACCAGTGGCATGATTCCCTATCCAGTGCTGAGTATTCATTGAAATTATTTGATGAGTTTACTTTTTCTTCCTCTACATACATACATACATACATACATACAGACACACACACACACACACACACACACACACGCACACACACACAAGAATATAAGATCTCAGACAGGAGAAATTCTGTCTCTTTTATTTACTGCTTCATCCTGTCCATATTGTAGATGCTCAATAATATTTTTAAAATAATTTATTCATAAATATTGTACTGTAATTATTCAAAATATAGGAAAGTTATTAAGGCCCTAAGTTCCCACCTTTCACTCTTTGGTTTATATTTAGAAATACATTGGCAAATACAAAAAAGAGATACACAAATGTTCCTTGTAACATCAATTACCAAAATAAAAAAATAGGAAATCACTTGAATATTGATCAATAGAAAAATAAATAAGTAAATTATGGCTCCTTGATTCCATAGCATAATATATAAGAATTGCAATAAACTAGAGCTAGTTGTATCAACGTGAATAAACATGATAAACATAATATTTGTTGAAACAAGCAAGCTGTGGTCTAACACTATGTATATAATACTACCAAATTTGAAAACAGTGCTAAATATTATTTACGGATTTAAATATGTATTGGAATAATAAGCACTAAATTTATATTAGTGGTTGCCTTCAGAGAGAAAGGAAGGAAAAAGTATCAGGAAGAGGTATAGAAGAAGCTTCGACTATAACAATAAAGTTTTACTTCAGTACAAAAACAGCTAAGGAGTACAATGGTTCTCAGGAGGAAGTGTTCTTTGTGATGTTCAAAGAGGCTGACTCTGTTGAATTGGAACTCTGCTGGGCAGCACTGCCCCTGTCTCTTAGGACTTTGTGAGCCACAGCACATGTATTTGTCTGTCACCCAGCTGCTGGTTCCAAGGCTGTACTCTTCACAGAACCGGTGAGAGGTTGTCAGGATTTCGCTTCTAAGCCTGCATCCAGCTACTGATTTGAATCTTGGCTCTATGATGGACTACTCTAGGGCTACATCTCCCCATAGTCACTATAGGAACATAGTTGTTCCTTCTATGTATATGGAGAGCATAGCAGAAAGCTGCCAGGTAGGCTTGTTGACACTCTGTGTTAACCTTTGATGGGCTTTGTTATTCCATGCACTATGACATGGACACCTATAAAGCTGTTGCCATGCTATGCAGACTTTGACCTTTTTGACTGATTATCTTAGAAACTGACTGTGCACCTCTTTGCCTCTGCTCTGATGCAATTCAACTGACAGTAGGATGAAACAACAGTTTAATTCACTGTAAGAAAAACTTCTTCTCCTAATCACATTGTTATTTTCATAGTTTAGTCTTGAGGGAAAGTTTGAGAACAATTGTATCCAAGGAACTGTGAGACCAAACTCCATAACTGTGAGATAGTGTGGAATTGACTTTCAGCTTCTCACAAGACTCATGATACAACTTAACATTATATATGAGCTTTTGCTAGACATTGATCTACCATTTGATCCAGCAATACCACTCTTGGCGATATACCCAAAAGACTGTGACACAGGTTACTCCAGAGGCATCTGCACACCCATGTTTATTGCGGCACTATTCTCAATAGCCAAGTTATGGAAACAGCCAAGATGCCCCACCACTGACGAATGGATCAAGAAAATGTGGTATCTATACACAATGGAATTTTATGCAGCCATGAAGAAGAACGAAATGTTATCATTCGCTGGTAAATGGATGGAATTGGAGAACATCATTCTGAGTGAAGTTAGCCTGGCCCAAAAGACCAAAAATCGTATGTTCTCCCTCATATGTGGACATCAGATCAAGGGCAAACACAACAATGGGATTGGACTTTGAGCACATGATAAAAGCGAGAGCACACAAGGGAGGGGCGAGGATAGGTAAGACACCTAAAATACTAGCTAGCATTTGTTGCCCTTAACGCAGATAAACTGAAGCAGATACCTTAAAAGCAACTGAGGCCAATAGGAAAAGGGGACCAGGAACTAGAGAAAAGGTTAGATCAAAAAGAATTAACCTAGAAGGTAACACACACGCACAGGAAATCAATGTGAATCAATGCCCTGTATAGCTATCCTTATCTCAACCAGCAAAAAACCTTTGTTCCTTCCTATTATTGCTTATACTCTCTCTACAACAAAATTAAAAATAAGGGCAAAATAGTTTCTGCTGGGTATTGAGGGGGTGGGGGGGGTGGGGGGGGGCGGAGTGGGTGGTAAGGGAGGGGGTGGGGGCAGGGGGGAGAAATGACCCAAGCCTTGTATGCACATATGAATAATAAAAAAAAAATATGAGCTTTTGCCTTTTAATTTACCAATCTTGTAAAGAGGATTCAACTATGATACATGAACAAACAACTTCTATATTTGTCCTGGCAATGAAGGACAAAGGGAAAGCCTGTAAAATTCATAAATGAAGACTTTACAGAAGTTTAGACAGTATTTAATTTTTTGAAAACTTCCTTTTATGTCCAGTTGATGACAACTACTGATGGTTACATGTCTTAGAGAAACTTTAAAATTAGAAAATGCTAATGTTTCACATTAGTAATTTCTAAATTGTAGGAAGAAGAGCTTAAAAACTTTTTGAATATAGAGAAGTTCCATTTAGGGAAGAGGTCCTCCATATAGATGTATAAAAATATTATAAATTCTAAACTGAGACTTAATCTTCAAATTTGTTCATGATATTTGTCCTAAAAGAATCTGTGTACAAATATAAAAGTGTAAAATATTGCTATATTTCCACTATGAGACTAAGTGAAAAGGTAGTCTATGAAAATTAAATTTTTTAAAATTAAATTCAATAAAATAAGAATGTATTTTATTTACAGGAAAAGTATATGAAG